ACTGAACCTCAGACCTGAACCCTGTCCTGTCCTGTGCCGTCCTGATCACTGAACCTCAGACCTGAACCCTGTCCTGTCCTGTGCCGTCCTGATCATCTCGGATGTACTTGATGCTATTGCTGCAGTCACGGCATCAATCCACCTGGTTGAGGATCTTCCTCCCCTTCACTGACCCTCCACTTTTCCAAGCACGACAACCCTCTTCAGGGAACAGCCTCTCCTCGCAACATGCCCAGAGTATGTGAACAGGGCCTTCTCAAAGCGGAGCCTTAACTCCACTTTGCAGCCTTGACGTGAGCCTGGAATGCAGGTGGACTTTTCCGAGCAGTTCTCCCACCTTTGTGCTGGCTGTGCCACATACCCCACGGCCAGCATTCCTTTCCTCCTGATCTAAGCAGCGTGTTGCCACCTGTTCCCCAAGGGGCTTCATCATTCCATACAAACAGGTGTGAGACTGGGCAGTATGTGTTTGGGGGCTCCCCAGCGGTACAGCCTTATCTAAACCCAATCCACAGATAAGACTGACAGCTCACTAGAACCGGGCCTGCCCCCTGTCCTGGGACCACACTGTAACAATGAATGGCATGGACTTTGACCCATCATGCACTTCTCTGTGTGTGTTTGGACCTAGTGTTGCCAGATTCTCCTGCTGTGAGCTGCGCCTTTGAGCCCCTCGTGCTCTTGCAGCCAGCTGTGGGCTGTGTGACTGTGGCTCCTGCCCCAACAGTGTTAGACGGGATACTGGCTTTGTGACAATTCTCACTCTGAATGGATGTCTCCTGGTGTGCATCGTCTCTACGCTGCAATACACTTCATTTGCTTTTATATGTTGTTGTTGTTGATTGCCGTCGAGTCTAGTACGACTCATAGCGACTCTATAACAAAAGACCTAATGCCTTTCCGTAATTGTCATTGTTTTTCCAAGTTCATAGAGTTTCCAGAGGCATGTGGTTTAGGAAGTGGATGCCACTCCTGCTTCCAAACCTGTTTTACATTTGGGAGCTCCACCAAACACTGTCCACATTGGAAGACCATTATGGTATTTGATACCTCAATTGCACAAAGTTCAGCATCACAGCAAACCCATATTATCTCAGTACAGCAAACTGACGAAGAGTGATGTACAAAGTAGAAGAATATAGAGGGGGAAAAAAAGATTCTAGCTTTGGAAAAAAATAATGTCTTTTTACAAAGATTGGTCCAGTCTTTTAACACAGCCAATTTATCATATTTTTTTAAATGTTCATTTAAAACATATAACCACAAAGAATTTCTTCTGCTGAAAAGCTTGCTTGAATGTTAAAGCAGGTCTGTTGCAGGCATAATTAATGAGTTGTTGTTGTTAGGTGCCATCGAGTCGTTTGCGACTCATAGCGACCCTATGCACAACAGCCCTAAACTCTGCTCTATCCTGCGCCAACCGCACTGCCTCTGACACA